CACCCGCAGCCCAGCTCCTTAAGCCTAGGATAGGAGGTTAAAAAAAAAATAAAAAATTAAAAAGCCTGAGCGGAGCATGGGTCCTTGGTATTTGACTCCACGGAGCCGTTTAGGCCAAGAATTTTTGTGGCCACGGGATCCTGGAGTGACATTAACCTGATTCATCTCGCTCATAGTGGCCCGGAACCCAGAACTCGTGGTCCCTACCGGGAGGCCTTGTCTGACTCTTTTTCTGCCCTGGGGAACCCCAGCCTGAAGGCGAACTCAGGCCAAGCCTCTTTGACTGCAGTCTCTCTGTCCAGAACCTCAAGAGAGTTCTTCAAGGCAGAAGACAAGAAAGAGTCAAGCCTTTTGGCCACCCCTTCTTTTTGGCGGCCCACCCCTAGATTTTCTTCCTACCATTCGCTCCACCTTTACATTAAACCTCTCAAAAGAAGCCACATACTGCGCAGTCCCAAATGTCAGCAGGCGGCTGTGAACTAGCGACCCTGACCCCCATCCTGGCCAGGCGTATAGTGAGGGTAGAGAGGAAGCTGAGGGGCGTTGGTCCTGACACCTGAGACATCATTTCATTATTCCAAATAGAAATATTAATGCAGCGGACCCTACAGCTTCTTTCCTTCTCTCTGTATCCTTGCCTCTGGCCCCCACCCACATTCTTCATCCTTTTTTTCCGGTTCTAAAGTCTGTCTGGAACACGATCTGATTTGCCATGATCCGGAGTTTGAGTTGTTGTTTATCTGGAAAAATAAACAGGAGCGTTCAAGTCACTTGATTTGTTTTCTGTAAGCAAATAATACCCAAAAGCATGGCTGTAATTTACCACGAATTAAAATTGATTCTTTTCATCAGGCAAGAAAATAGGAAAATGTGAGATCGTTAATTATTGAGGGAGGCGCTCCTCATTAAAGGGAACAATGTTACAATTCAGCATTTAATAGCAGGAATGTGAATAATAAGAGGCCATATTTCAGCCCACTGTCTGCAAAGAAAAGAGAGCAGTTTACAAACAACCCAAACAGCCGAAAGTTATATCTAATTTACACTCGAGGTTTCTGTAAGTGGAAAAAGCAATTAAGGCAGTGGACACACTACCCAATTCTTCCAAAGCACCCGGTATGTATTTTTCATTCTCTCTCTCTCCAAAGGATTCACAAGGAATTCAGGAATAAATACAATTAGAGAGAACATCAAAGTTACAAACCTCATCAGTAAATATCTGTCTTCAGGGCTTTTGGTGTCCCAATATCTTATGCTACCCCATCTCCCACCACAATCTCACTATATTTCCAAGGATGGCTCTAGAAAGGGACAGCAGAATAGCATGAGTGACAAGGACGTGACAGTTACTGTTCTTGCTATTTGCATAATTTGTCATACAAATTATATATATGTATATGTATGTATGCATGTATGTATGTATATATATGTATATGTGTGCATACACACACACACACATATGTATATATCTATCTATCCTGAAGACTTTCCCCTAAAGCTATAAGTTCCTTGCCTGGTTTCATTTGGACAGGAGCCTGAGTGGAAGCAAGAGCAGATCTCCAGGCCTTTAAATGCTCTTTGTGCTTCGTTAAAAAGGAGAAGGGGGAAAGGAGAAAGGGAAAAAAAGATGATTTCCCTGTGCATAGCCCCTTGGCAGGCTCTTGTACAAAATTCAATCTCTATTTTTTATGAGAAGTAAACTGTCTAAATAAATTTTATTAGGGGCAACCAATATATTTTCTGGTAGTTCCCTTTGTTCCACTTCTACGTGTGTGTAACAATCTAAAACCTATTTATTGAGGAAAAATCACTGGATCCGTCATAGAAAATCCTTTTACTTTGCTTTGAAGTGATTTCTGAAGACATTCTTGTCATTCCGAAGATTTGGGGGCCATTGCGCTAAAGCCTCGCCTTGTTAGGGACTTCAGCTCCCATGATCATGTGGGAAATGCCTTAAATTATCAACAGCAATGGGCCTGACCGGCACTTTCCCGGCTGCCCCAGGAACGTGGGAAGATGACGGGGAATAAAACTCTGGTAAATACATCTCTGGCGCTGCCCAGGTTATTCAGACATTGGCCAAAACGAGCGAGCTGAGAGGGAAGCCGGCTGGGGAGAGCATGTTACATCCAGACTGCTGTCTCCTTCCTTGCCACGCCCGCTGGCAGAGGGCTCCAGCTTGCACCCTCCCTACCTCGTGGCACCCCCCACCCCATGCCCTCTCCCGCTCCTAAGATTTCCCTTTCTTCTTCTCCCTCCCCCCACTTTCCTTTTATTTCTTCCTTTAACTCCCTCCACCCCCTAGCCCTTCTCTGAGATGCTTATGCTCTGAAGTCTTGGAAGAAATGATTTAGTTTGTTTATACTGCTATAAAAATCAAGACCAATAGAAAAGTCATAAAATGAAGCGGGCTATCAATCACACCGCAACATTGTTATTCAGCAGTTACTAACAGAGATGGATAATCCTTTGATTTCGTCCCATTGTTATTACTCTGATGTGTCTTCACATTAACTATTACACATTTATTTATCGACCTGAAAGATAGAGCAAAACAGAATATACGAGCGAGTGCGTGTGGGAGGACGCGGCGTGGCCCGCGGCTGCTCGGGGGCGGCTGTGGGATGCGGACTTTCGCGCCTGTTTGCACACACGTGGAGCTCGCGGGGCGCCGGCTCCCCTTCTCTCTGCTGCCTCTCCTCTCTCTCCGCGCGCGCGGTGCGGGGACGCCGCAGTGAAAGCCTCCGCGAATCTGCCAATTGGAGGGAGCAGGGTGCTGATGCCAGGCCCCATGTGTGTTCCTCAGCCCCTTGCCCCACCTCTGCCACTGCAGTCTGATCTTGAATACTCCCACCCGCCACAGCCTGGAGAAAGAGATCCCTCGACCGCCTCCAGGACGCGCAGCCAGGTGCGCTCCCAATCTACCCTCCGGGCGCACGCCGCCCCGCTCCGGGTCACCGCTCTGGCTGCCTCCGCGGAGCTGCGCGCGCCGAAAGCTCTAATTTAGGGATTTGCCGTTTAGTTTAGGGAGAAGGGAAATTCATTACAGGGATCCTCTTTACTTTAGGCCTCTGTATTCTCCAACCTCGTAAAATCTTTTTTAGAAAGAACTTCTGGCTCTAGTCCCATGTCCTTTTGGTTCCCAGACACCCTGACGTTTCCTGGGTTTGACCCTCCAGAGCACTCAGCCCTGGCACATTGACCCCATATAGGCCGCGTCCACAGCTGCTTCGAGCGTCGAAGCTTGGCCGGGCTGGGGGCTTCCAGGAAGCGGTCTCCGCAGCTCGGAACAAACCGGTGTGGCTGATGCCCTGAACACATAGGTGTGTGTATGT